CCCCTGTTCCTATAAATGGCCCCATGGACATAGGCCATGGCAAATGCAGACCAGATGTTTGTGTACACAATGATGGCTTTGCCCTTTGCCCAGCAAAGCAACTGGGTTAATGCCAGAAGCTCAACCCTTTGTGTTGACATTCCTTTGCTGAGGTCCTGGGCCCTTAATGTCCTGCCCAAGGTCATAGCTGCAGTCCCAGCATACCTGATTCCATCTTGAACCAACTGTCCCCATCAGTGCACAGTACCTCTTCTACTTTTTGCAGCAGGACATTTGTTAGGTCGGGTCTGACAGATTGGACCACACTGGTCACCTTCAGGCAGTCACAGAGGAGCTCTGCTGGCTTAGCGTCTGGCAGTAGCATGGCTAGGCTGGTGGCTGCAGCTTTACAGAATTGGGTATGGTGTTGGTATAGGAGAAGTGCTTGATAATGAGTTACTTAGTGTTGGTCATACATCCCTTAGGAGGGCCTCTACAGATTGTGGGGGAGTGTTGGGTAGTTAGGAACAGTTCCTGGCTGGAAGTGAGTGTTTTTTTTTCCCCCACTAGCATGGCTATAGCAGCAATTGCACACAAGCAAGCTGAACAACCAGCAGAAACAGGATCAAGCTTTTTGGATAGGTAGGACACTGTCCTCTTCCAGGGTCCCAGTGACTGGGCAAGGACTCCTTTGTGATACTCTGGGATTCAATCACATACAAGTACAAGGGCTTAGAGATGTCTGGGAGGGCTAGGACCAGTGCAGATATAAGGGACTTCTTCAGGGCCTCAGGAGCTCTCTGTTTGGAGTCAGAGTTTAGAGCTGGGTGCTACTGGTACTAGTATACAATGCCTTAGCCTTAGATACACAAATCCGGGTATCCATAATGGCAATTACCCAACCACCCCCAGAAATTCTCATACCTATTTCTTTGTCTTGGGCACAGGGATACATAGCATCCCCAAGATCAGCTCTGTGATAGCTTTTGTTTACCTCCTTCTAAGTTGTATCCCAGGTAGGTGGCATGGGGTACACAGAGGCCTTCCTTGCTGAGACCCGATATCCTAGAGCTTGTAGTGCCTCTAACTTGGTGGCCTTCATACATTCCTCCTCTGTTACTGAAGCTGTAAGGAAGTCATCCCTGTATTGAAATAGGGTGCTCTCTGGATGCTTTTGTGGAAAGTCAGGAGGTCAGCCCCCAAGGCCTCATCAAAGAGTATAGGAAAGTTTTTGAACCCCTGTGGTAACCTAGTACAGGTCAGTTGGCCCTTAAATCCTCCCTTGGGATCTGTCCATTCAAAGGCAAAAATGGGTTTGCGTATAGGTGTTAGAGGGAGGCAAAAGAAGGCCTCTTTTAAGTCCAGAACTATGTACACTCATTTCTTTGGTGGCAGGAGACTGGGGAGGAGTTAGGAACCATGGGATGGATGATGTCTACTCTTTTGTGGATCTTTCTGAGATCCTGCACTGATTGATAATCCTGGGAGCCCAATTTTGGGGAACAAGGAGGCTTTCCAGAGGAAATGGCAAGGGAAAAGGATCCCTACTTTCCATAGCTGGTTAGTGTGTTTAACAGTCTCTTGCTTAGCTTCCCAGCTCATAGGATACTGTTTGACCCATACTGAAGTAGCAGTATTTAGTAACTGATGGCAATTGGTTCTCAACAGGTGGCCATTCTGGTGGGTTGTTCTCAGCCCAGACCCCAGGATACCACTGTGGCAAATCCTGCAGGTGTCCTGGAGTTTGAACATCATTTTCAGGTGCTAGACTTGGTTGGAGGAGGTGTTCCTCCAACAGGGGGCAGGTCATAAGAACATGGGTTGGGGGTTGAGAAGGATTCACAGTAAAATGGGCAGTGGCCTCCCCAAAGTATGACTGCCCAAAGTTTTTGTAATCAATCTCCTAATTGGGGAATAGGGACACTCTGGCATATTTATAAAGGATTGGGTCACAGTACCTTGTCATCCAGGGACAGAGCGCAGTCTGTCTTGTAGTCCCTTGGAACCTATTCATTGAGACATTAGCGGTCCAAAAAGCATTGTTAGTACTGAATGGGCTGCTCTTGTGTCAGCCAGGAATCTAGCAGATTTTGTCCCTTTGCGGTTACCCTGGGCACTTGGGGACTCAGTGAAATGGAGCTCTGGCCTTGTCAGGTCACCCAAATGAAGGATGGGGTATCCTCCTCCTTCCCTCTTCTGATGTGGTCATTCATTATTCCTGTATCCTTCTTGCTTGTCAATGCAGTGGTCCATCTCTAGCCTCTTCTTTGCCTGGCATTTGTGGCATCCCCCTCTGGGATCTCTCTTATTGGCCTCCCTGAGAGCTGCAGCCATTACTGCTCAGATCCATCTTTTACTCTGCATTTCTTCTACAGAGTCTTGGTTATTATAAACCTGAGAAATCACCAATAATTGGAACCTGTTCATAGCCTGTAGTGATGTATTGTGTACCCTAATATACTTATCTGGGGATCAGAGGACAGAGCCAGTCACTAGATTAGACATAGAGGCCAGACAGTGGTGACACACACTCTTAATTCTATCACTTGGGAGGCAGAGACCCATCTGGATCTCCGTGAGTTCAAGGCCACACTGGGAACAGAGCCAGGCATGGTGGCACACACCTTTAATCCCAGCACTTGAGATCTCATGTCTTTGTTTGGGAAGCACACACGCCTTTAATCTCAGGAAGTGACATGGCTGGGTGGAGAATGGTCTATAAGGCCTGAGGAGACAGGAACTGAGCAGCAGTTCAACTGAGACCCTCAGGGGTGAGGACTTGGGGCTTTCAAACTGAGGATTCGTGGAAACAAGATCAGCTGAGGAGTTGGCAAGGTGAGGTTGGTTGTGGCTTATTCTGCTTCTCTGATCTTTTAGCATTCACCCGAATACCTGGCTCTGGGTTTTTTCTATTAATAAGGCCTTCTGAGATTCATGTTACAATAGTCTCAAACCCTTCTAACTTGAAGTCTCTCTCTAATATCTGGGGCCAACTGCATAACAAAGCAATAGTGGTTGCTTGCTGGCTTTCCGGCATGTCTGGATCTATGGGTGTGAACACCTAGGAAGCCTTGCAGAGGGGCCAAGAACCCAGGGCTGATTCTTAGGGCTTTTGTATTATCTTGCTCACCTTAAACAGACTGGTTTTCTGGCAGCTGCCTTCTTTCCTCCTAAAAGGGCTTGGTGAAAATTGTCCAGAGCCTCCTTACCTTGATCGGTGTTAGGGTACCAGTAAGGCTGGGCAGAGGGGAAAATCCACTGTACCTGAGCTGTATTGTACAGGAGATCCCCTTCCCACTTGAGAGTGACTTTCCTACTCTCAAGCCAGACTGTGTCCTGTTATTTAGTCATGAAGAGGGTGGCTAGGAGCTGTTGGCAGCAATCCCAGGTTGGCTGGTAAATACTAAAGACTGTCTGGAGAAGGCTAATGAAAGCCTAGGGGTTTTCAGAGTATGGTGGGTTCTGAGTTTTACAATATACAGACAGTGATTCAGAAGGAGATGTAAGCCATGAAAGGGAAGGGTGAGAACCCCTGGATTGTGGGCCTGCTGGAGGTACCTTCTTTAAGGGGCAGATGGGGTCTACTCTGCCTCAGGCAAGTTCCTTTCAGGGATCCTATAGCCAGAGCTATTCTTTGTATGTGGAGGGGAGAGGGGGACTGAGGTTTAAAACTACTTCTTCCCCTACCCTCCCAGCATAGCCAGGGGAACTATTTCCCCCAGCAGGTGTGCCGAGGGGTCTCACTGGTACACACACAAGGGAAGGTTTAGCTTCCTCCAGCAGTGCAAAGAGAACAGGTGGAAGTTTGGGTTTCTCTGGGCCACCTGGCCAAACCAAGAAGACTTGGGTCCCCATTGAAGGGACCCAATCTTAAGCCAAGGTGCTGGGTTTTGCACCAGAGAAGTTGTTGGTCACTGTAGGGAAATTGGTCAGGGTAGCCCAGGTATCCAGTCATGACATTCTAGAGAGCCTGAACTGCCTGGGGTTCAGAGATCACTGGGCCATCCGACTCCAAAAGAGGGCCAATCTACTTCACAGAAGGTCTAGTTTCCCAGACAAAAGTCAGAGACCCATTCTTCTCCATAAAACCTTCCTTGAAGTGTTTTAACATACGCTTCAGTGGTGCGTTGGAACCGCTCACTCCCCTCCCGTTGAAGCTCCCTTTCTTCTAGTCAACAGAATTGACAAAAACACACAGATACTCAAAGAACATCAATAATAAAGAACTGAGGGTGGCCACCACACAGACCCAAAAACCAGCGGATCTGGTGATATCTTGCACAGATCCCAAACACTGGAATTGGGGCAACATCCAGCCTTTCCTAAGTGTTGTATATAGAATCCTCCATAAACAAAGTCACCTTCTAAGGGGACAAATCCAGGTGACTTTTGGTAGATTCTTATTTAGGGTAGAGGTGTTGGGAGCCACTGGATCAACAGGAGCAGAGGCATGAGAAGTTCCCTGGACCCTGGGACATCTCAGGGTGCACACCCCCTAGGAACTGTCTGCTCCTCACATTGTTGGCCAAGGGAATCTGAGGTCCCTCACATTTCAGTCTCTGAGAATTTTGCTGGGGCTTCTAGAATGTTGCAAGGTAATTCCGCCAGAGAACACATGGACACTCTTAAAACCTAATAGGAAGTCTGTATTGCTGGTTGGCAGATGCATGGAGAACTTACCCAATTCATGCAGCCCCAAGCCTCACTGTTCTTTGCCTTTTATGCACAAGAACACATCCAGGTTGATGTAATTCCGTTAGCAAGAACAGTTAGCAGGAAACAAAACTGCATAAAAAAGCAAGGTTAGTACATTTAAGGACTTTCCTGGATCCTGGAACTACGGACGAGGTCTCTGAAGGATTAGGTGTTTGTTCCCATTTGGGCAGGTGTTGCAGCCTACATGCTAGGCTCTAAGGCCAGACACCTCTAACATGGCATCAGTTGTGCTGAAGTCTTAGGGCCTGTTACAAATGGAATCCCAGAAACTGGCATTTCCAACTGAAAGAACATTAAAGCCCAAGTAAAAACAAAATAAACTTTTAATTTCTGATTCTGATGAATGAACAGAGTGATTTTTGTGAGAGGTATCTTCTGTTTCCCCAGCAGCCATAAATCATACTTTTGAGCTGTACCATTTCACTTTTAAATGTACATTTAGAGAAGAACACGGCATTCCTTATTATGCTTCATTTGTACAGTGTTACTGCAGTCTCTGCTACTCGGCAGACCCCTCCGGCTGTCTTCCCATTCCACATGTCTATTGACGAGCACGGGCATATGAGAAATCAGACGGGGTGGGAGTACAGTCCTCTTCTGAAGTCGGTCTCTGCTTTCTTCATTTGCTTACGGCCAATCTGTCATCATTTTCCACCCTTGCCTTTTCCTGACTTGGTATTTATTCACTTAAGAGTTACCATCTAGAAGGTGATGCTTTGATGTCCATTTGCAAAAGATTCAACTATGCTCCCTGATTTGTAGAAAATGCTCCCTACCTAAGAATTTGCTGGGCCTGTCCCATTGGTGGAGGCACAGATGTTCAGTGTGAACAGCAAACTCCTTGCCACTTCCATGATCCTGACTGTGGAACAGTGTACAGGATTATACAAGTTGCAGATGGCTGAGATCTTCTTGGAGGAGGATGGCTCCATGATATTAGATTGGATCCTAAGGTGCTGCTGATGGAAATCTGCTATTTTTCTTATCAAGGTTCTTTGTCTGTAGATGATTTCATTTCCCATGTTCTTTTGAAAGGAATAGAGGAAAGAATACTTTTAATTAAATAATCTGTATTCTGCCAGCTATTCTTTCTTCCTAGGAAGGTATCTGGAACAGTCCTGTTATTTAGCCTGTCAGTATCGTATATTGATGAGAGAACTGAGGTTCAATAATGTTAAAACAAGACATGGACTATTGATTCTTTTTAAAAATTCTGCCTTTACTCCCAAGTATAGCAGATGGCCAATAGTGTGCTCACCAATAAACCTCCATTATAGGGAGGGCCTTGAGCCTTTTCAGGTTTGATAAATGCCTCGAATGCCTTTGAAGTGTTAACTTTGAGTGCCCCCAGCTTGGCTCTCATTGGTTCATGGAAGAAACAGGAAGAAGTAGAATTGAGGCCAAAAGTTTGAGTCAGAGATGCCCTAGGAACCATCTTATCAGAAAGCAGCTCATCAACAGTCTTCCAACCCCTCAGCTCTACTTGACTCTCCTCCATTCCTCCAACACAGTCCCCGTTGCAGAACAAGACATTCTCTGCAGCTCTAGCTAACTGAATTTGATGGCTCCTAGGGTTATGTTCAAAGCTCAGACTGAACACGAATGGCTTCAGATAGCCTTGTATAGAAAGGAGAATAAAGGAGAATGTTTGGCTGGGATCTAAAAGGTGGCGGAGGGGCAGGAGTCAGGCAGGATGGGAATGCTTATCAAGGAGAACCCAGTCTGTTAGAGTTAGAGATTATCCTAAACCAGAGGGGTGTGTGTGTGTGGGTGTGTGTGTGTGTGTGTGTGTGTGTGTGTGTGTGAAGGAATCTACTGTTTTCTTAAGAAAGCCTGTGACAAGGAGATGTGAAACAACACAGGGCTGCCCAGCCCACTGTCACACAAAGAACACAGTCATCCACAATGCCAACAGCACCAAGAATGGCCTAGAGAAAGTGATTTGGTGCAGCAAAACATAGCCTTCTCCTATTCCAATCCTAAGTCACTGAAGCAGTTGTTGCTTGAGTTTTCCTGCCTGGCCCACAGTCAGGACAAATCTCTGACACCCGCCAGTCCCACAACCTCTCAGACCCGACCAAGTAAACACAGAGACTTATATTGGTTTCAAACTGTATGGCTGTGGCAGGCTTCTTGCTAACTGTTCTTACAGCTTAAATTAATCCATTTCTATTAATCTATACCTTGCCACGTGGCTTGTGGCTTACCGGTACTTTACATCTTCCTTGTCCTGATGGCGGCTGGCAGTGTCTCCCTCACCCAGCTTCCTGTTCTCTCAATTCTCCTCTCTGTTAGTCCTGCCTATACTTCCTGCCTGGCCACTGACCAATCAGTGATTTATTCATTGACCAATCAGCAACACATTTGACATACAGACCATCCCACAGCACTTACCCTTTTCTTTTCTTAAAAAGGAAGGTTTTAACCGTTACACATCTCCAAAGTCAGCTTGGTATATTTGGGAATTTGGGCGTAGCTTCTCTTACTACTTCCTGCTGGAGGGGGCGCTGTATCTTCTGGGGAAACAAAGAAAATTTTAGGATCATGGAGTAGTCCGTGAGGCTGTATCATCTGAGCCAGTTGCCTTGAAACGGTTCTGGATGTTGGATCATCTGGGCCATGGTGTCATCGGAGACCTTTCAGGTGGTCTTGGCTGGTCAAACCTGATGTGTCTTAATCTGGAACAAATCCATAGCCTCTGGCTTTCTGTGGAAATAAAAGCAGAGCCTCCTTTCCAAAGCAACATATCCTTACATCCAAATTTTGAAGTCAAGGTACCTTTAAAATATACATTTTGGTATAACTCAATAGCTTTTGTAATCAAATGTTTTTCTTTAGTTACGAATATCAAAGAGAACATAATCCAGATTCTCTGTGTGGTAGCCATCTTTACATGGCTTATTTTTTTATATTAGCTTGAGCCTATTGCTTTGAACTGTAGCCTTTTAAGCCTGAAATGGCGCTGGCGCTGCTGGCTCCGCCCACTTTAGCTTCCCAACATGGCGGTGATACGTTTTCCACCAGCTCTGGGAGCCATCAACTCTCAGAAGTAGTGGGTCTATGCTTTTATCCAAGCAGCGTGTAGCCCAGAAACCTATTTTTTTTTGTTTTGTACTACCAAAGGCTAAATCCACCACGCAGCTTAATGTGCCACTTGCAGAGGCCTCATTCCCGCCATACTGCAGGCCAAGCGCACACGCCAGGAACCCGCCAGTAGCTCAAACCGGCAGCTGCCGCTCATTTGAGAGAGACAATTAGGAACTGTTTTTAGCTCCGTTTTAGAATCTTTTTACTCAGGTTTTAGGTGGAAACTCTTGCCACCACGTTGGACGCCATTTGTTGCTTGAGTTTTCCTGCCTGGCCCACAGTCAGGACAAATCTCTGACACCCGCCAGTCCCACAACCTCTCAGACCCGACCAAGTAAACACAGAGACTTATATTGGTTTCAAACTGTATGGCTGTGGCAGGCTTCTTGCTAACTGTTCTTACAGCTTAAATTAATCCATTTCTATTAATCTATACCTTGCCACGTGGCTTGTGGCTTACCGGTACTTTACATCTTCCTTGTCCTGATGGCGGCTGGCAGTGTCTCCCTCACCCAGCTTCCTGTTCTCTCAATTCTCCTCTCTGTTAGTCCCGCCTATACTTCCTGCCTGGCCACTGACCAATCAGTGATTTATTCATTGACCAATCAGCAACACATTTGACAAACAGACCATCCCACAGCAAGCAGTGGTGTCAGATGACCAGGAAACCAGGTGTGAATAAATAATAATTCAACATTACCCAATTTTTTGTTGAAGCATCACCATGTTGGAGTTCTCAGTCCCTCCCCTTGATCATACCTAGAAGAAAAGAATAGAGGAAAGAACATCACAACATGTTTCCAAAAATGAAAAGACAAACCAGAGTAGCAGACAAGGAAAGACACTATGGCCAAAAATATTGAAATTGGTGAAAATGAATAAGTAAATAATAGCTTGACAGACAACAAGTCTGTGTATTTATGCCATGGCCTTTAGATAACAAGTAATGGGGGAAACATGGGAGGGTAAAATGGCTTATATATTTATCAGTAATAAACTAGAGGAGAGATGTTTTAAATGATATGCCTTCAAGCATGTGCTAGATCAGTGTGTTGACAGTATCATTTTTCTAAGAGATGAGTAAGTCCATTTAGTGGTTTCCAGGTTGTAAGTATCTTGATTACTAAGGAGCAGAGGGATGTTGAGTCTGACCAGTGGAAACAAGTGATTGATAGTTTCCTGGTAACAGCCCTGCCTTCCTTTTCTCCTGCATGGCTCGTTATTTCACAGCATTAATTTAAGCACTGAATCAGGGGCTTCAGGTCTCTTGCCAACCCTGTGGGAAACTTGATGGTTTATTTGTAGATGGTGATAATTGTTTTTATTGATCCCCAAATATGAGAGTTGTGTACTCTGCTGTGGCTGAAGGCCAGCTGGTCCATAGTGCTACATGCATGAATGACAAGTTACAACATCGTATGTGTCCCAGAAGAAACTTAAGAATTTCTAAGGCAATCGATGCCTATCCCAGATCTCTGCGCATTGAGATATATGAACAGGTTCACGTACACCAGTACCATGGTTTTTGTAGTTGTCATTATTGAACCTTAAAAGGTCTACATAGGTTTGATTTACACTCACATCTGAACACAGCTTGCAGCCACACAGGGGCCTGCAAGTGGCACCCTTATATGAGTTACCAGAGCCAGCCCCACAAAGGCCAGTGAGTGCCTCCAAGGCAGTGATTCTCAACCTGTGGGTCACAACCCCCATAGCAGATATCCTGGATATCAGATATTTACATTATAATTTATAACAATAGCAAAATTACAATTATGAAGTAGCAATGGAATAATCTTATGGTTGGGGTTGCAACACGAGGAACTGTATTAAAGGGTCACAGCATTAGGAAGGTTGAGAGCCACTGCTCTAAGGCCTCAGATCCCCAGGCTGTTGTTTTGGAAGTGTTCCTGGGTTTAGCTAACACCTGTATTTTTTCAGGTTGAACATCTTAGAGGAATAGTAACTCACAGTATTTGAGAAGAAGCCCCTGTGAAAACCCTAGCGTATTCTGTAGGTAGGAAACTTCATGACATTTCAAGTCTCAAAATACCAGAGATGTTGAGGCAAAATAGTGTCACTGTCTAATTAAGCCCAGTTTTTAGGACAGGGCACTAGGGCGGTAGGCTTCTCCCCCATGTAAATCAAGCACAACACACAATGTTGGGGGAAGCTTTGGGGCTAATTAGTGTGGGCTGTCTACCTGGAAATGAATCAGGTCAGGCCTAAAAGGAACTGAGTATCATAAATGTGGTTTTTCAAGTCCTTACTATTTGGTAAAGTGGGAAGGTCTTTGGACAGATGCTAAACTTTAAAACTCCTGACCCTCTTCTCTTGGATAATATACATACATGATGGCTGTGCCCTGCATCCCCGTGAGGACTCACTTTTGAATGCTTATAGTCAAAGTCTCAGAAATGACTGGGCTGGACCAGAAGAAGGCAGGACAGCTCACTGGCACTTTCGAGTTCCAGATGTTGCACAAAGGATCCTCCTTTATCCTGAGCTAGGCTGTCTTCTGGGTCCCCCATTTATCCTGAGATACAGGGGAAGGAGCTCGTAAAAAGAAGGACTGTATGTTTCAATTTCTATTTATTCTCATGGAGATTAAAGTTTGCTTTAAATGCCCTGGTCTCATGATACTCTTTCTTTTTTATTTTATTTTTTAATTTTATAATTTAATTTAATTTTACATATCAGCCACGGATTCCCTTGTTCTCCCCACTCCCGCCCCCCCACCTTCCCCCCAGATCACCTCCCATTCCCATCTCCTCCAGGGCAAAGACTCCCCTGGGGATTGAGTTCAGCCTGGTAGATTCAGACCAGGCAGGTCCAGTCCCCTCCTCCCAGGCTGAGCCAAGTGTCCCTGCATAGACCCCAGGTTCCAAACAGCCAACTCATGCACTGAGGACAGGTCCCGATCCCACTGCCTGGATGCCTCCCAAACAGATTAAGCTAATCAACTGTCTCACTTATCCAGAGGGCCTGATCCAGTTGGGGACCCCTCAGCTATTGGTTCATAGTTCATGTGTTTCCATTCGTTTGGCTATTTGTCCCTGTGCTTTATCCAACCTTGGTCTCAACAGTTCTCGCTCATACATACTCTTTCTTACATCTTCTGTGACCAGTTTTTGTTGAAACGGAGACACAGAGCATCTCTTCTAAAAGCCTTAGTCATGGTATCTACCCCCACCACAAAGCTGAGTTCTTTGTTTAGTTCTCTCTTCTCACATACACCCCAGACATTGATACCATACCTATTGTGCCAGTGAGCATAACTGATCATGGAATTCATATGCTTGCTAACTGTATTCATCAACATACATGCAGCATAGTGCAGAGCTCACTGGTGAAGGCTTGAAAATGGAAAAAATGCTCTCTGGTGACCCAGAATCACTTGATTTTAAAGTTGGAAGTAACTTCAGATAGGACTGAGTTCAATCATCTCACTTAGAAACAAGGACACGGACTCAAAGAGGCTGTGTGCATTCCATTTCAATCAGTGGTCAAGTTGGCTTGTGAGACCAGGTATGTTTATGTCAACCTACACTCTACTGTGTTCCAACTATAACACTGTAACCTGACAGGGTTTTGGTGTGTTGTTTTAGATGGTAATCAATTGTGTTAATATAGTGTCTCTCCCTATCAGATCATACCAGCTTGTAGCACAGTCAGTGAAGTATTTCCCCCTCAAAATATAAACAAATGCTATGTTTGAGTCTAACAAATATAAGCATCCAAACCAATACAACCAATTCTAACAAAAACTGTGATTTTAGGTTTCCCTATCTGTGCCTGGTTGAGCTACTAATGAAGAAGTATGGAAAGAATATAAAATAGGCAAAAATGGAAGAATCAAGAAAAATGGCAAGCATATAACCCAGTAAGAACAATGGCCATGCAAATTCAGTACACCAATAGAATATAAAATTTTTTGGAAACATTAGGTTATAACACTCATGTCTTCTGATCCTGCTTTCAAATAAATGGGGTTCTTCCTTGATGCTCCTGAGACCCTGGAATACAGATCATCTTCTGGCTAAACCATGTACTAAGAACATTGTCTATAGTCTTTCTGTCCTCCAGGTGACCCCTTCCCACTCATGGAGCACACATTCCATACTTCTACATCACTGCTAGTTCTATCCCATAGAAAAGTAGAGACAACTCAATGGTCCAGTCTCTGGAATACATGGCCCTCAGTGTCCATAGGTTCTGGATCCCTCGGTTCTATCAACTGTAGATCCAAATACTGTCCTCCACTATGTGGAGGGAATTGCATCAGTATAAACTATTAACAGACTGTTCCTAAATAATACCGTATTTCAACTATATAGTGACTATATTAGTTATAATTAACCGAGAGGAGGCCGGAGGCATTTGGGAGAATGTGTGTAGGTACTATTCAAATGCTTCTCCATTATACCAGAGGTTGATCACCTGAAGATTTGGATAGGTATGGGGATCCTGGTTCCAATCTCCCACAGGCATAGAGGTCCAACTGTATTCTTCACATGGAAAACATGCACACACACGCTCGCGCGCGCACACACACACACACACACACACACACACACACACTGATCATTAATTAGAAGCAGTTCTAACTCAGAGACAAGATAGCTGAGAGGCTATGGATGGGTTTTATTGGCCTCTCCTTGAGAATCACACACAGGTTTAAAAAATAATTTAAAAAAATGAATCATCACCTCCCTCTGTGAGTGCATGTAATTCTTGAAATGTTGGCATATTCTAGGTTGGCACTAGTCGGGAAGGAAGGAGGGGTTCTATTTCAGACCTGTGGATGGCATCGTGTTAAGGGCTTAGATCCGTAGTAGTAGGTTCTGGACATCAACGGGTACTGACCTGTGGCTGGAGGCTGCAACTGGAGTGGTGGTGATGGGTGTGTTAGCTGGTGGGTGAACAGGCTGCAGTCCCACCAGCCCCGAGTCCAGAGGGGAGGCTGTGCCGCACAGCTGCCAGGTGACTTGGGGCAATCTGCTTGCCTCTGCAGGAAGAGACTTCAGGAGGGAGACAACCTAGCCTTTTGAATGAGTTAGCTCGGCTTGGCTGAGGACAGATACAGAGATCCATCCTGAACCATTTGCCTTTGGCAGACCCCCGCAGTCTGCACTGTCTCTGATTAAATCATTCCCAGCCCCATTGCTGTGACACACACACACACACACACACACACACACACACACACACACACACACACACACAGAGCTTTGGCTCGCTTCCAAGTTTGGGATATACCTGTGCTATTTGGTCTTCCTAAAGTATTTTCCCTGCCACGGTCCACATGGCCTTGTCCTCTCCCCCAACCCCCGACTCACGTCACCATCATCATAGAGGCAATCCCTGAGAAACTTTACAGAGCACCTGGATGTAAATCTAATCTTCCAGTCAGCATACATGGGTTGTAACTCCTGTGTTTATAGCATCTGTACGAGTGATTGGCACATTATAGGTGTCCAGTAATCTGTGTCCATGAGGCCGGAGCCATGTCTTAAGAAGCAGCTTGTCTCCTGATGCCTGCAAGTCTGTTTAGGAAAACATTTGGATACTTTCATGGACCAGGTTCACCTACACTGTATCTACTTTACATGTAGAAGCCAAGGTTGGGCTGCAGATCAGCACACATCCACATATGCACACAATCACATACCCACACATCTATATATGCACACAGTCACATGGCCACACACCCATATATGCACACAATCACATACACACACCCACACATCCACATACCCACACAAATATAATTTTAAAATATGTAATAGAACCTAAGGAGACTCCGAGAAAGTGCTGTGTCCAGGAAAGCAAGACACCATTATCATTCAGTGCTCATCAGAGCTTTAAGCAACTTTCAGAGAACCTGTCTTCTGATATACACCCCTAATTTGTGTCTTATGGAAAACCAAATAAATTATTTTTCACCTGCAGGGAGCAGGATTATTTGACTTCGGATATTTGCCATATGGCTTCTCTTCCACCCAGCATAGCTTTGAGGCTTAAGGTAGAAAGAATAAGAGTGTGCTCATAAATTATTCAGAGATAATTCAGAATAAGTGTGTATCCTTGACAGATTGTCAGGTTTCTCAGCGCTCCCCCGATAACGGGTGCTGTGTTCTCGATAACGTGTGGCTTGTTTCTAACTGCACTTCCTCGTCACTCTGCATTTTGTTTTACCCGTTTCTGTCCCTCCAGGGTGCAGTCTGGCTCCTATCTCAGCACCGGGTGGTTTACCTTCATCCTGGCCATGGATGCCTGTTACAGTATCCACGTCTATGGGATGATAAACGACACCTACTGCAAGTAAGATCACAGGAAATTACTTCCATGCAGCCCCAATTCTGATATCGTGTCAAAATATCACAATTCATTGTAATGCCATAAATCTGAGAAATAGATCAGATGACAATTACTTCCAGGTGTTCTTTGCCAACATGACATGTTCTTGTCAGTGCGTCATGTTCTGACTTTTAAGAGTGATAGAAAGAAAACAATGTGTACTGCAGCCTAATGTCACATGTGAGAAGGAACACTTTTCCCTTAATCAGTCGCAGTCCAGGACTCGGGGCTTGAAAATCTAGAGCAAGTTTAGTGGTGATTTGATTTGCAAAATCAAGGCTGCCACGTCTACTTTCTCCAAGGGCTTGATGGACAGCTGTCAGCCAATGGTTCTGTTTGTTCATAGGGAAGAAAATGCTCTGATGCCTCAGAGAAGCATTAGGCTCAACAGAGTTCCTGAGAATTTTATTTCACTAATGTGTGACTAATTTGCCAGATTCTTAAATGCGTGTGTGGTTGCTGGCAGGATTGCTTCTGATCAGATTGCCAGACTTGTGCTTCATCATGGTGGCGAAATGCAGTTCCTCTACCAACCATTCCCACAATATGATTCAGAGAGCACTTAATCATACTGTTAAAATGTAACCCTGGGCCACAGTCTTCATGAATACACATTTGTACTATGACTGCTAAGTCTAAAGAACACAGATGAACCCCAAACTTCACTGTGAAAATTCAGTTTCCTTACCTCTCCAGGAGCATCAGGCTTTGTACGGTTTGTTTTGTCCTATACCATCTCCTCTGAAAGTGGACTGTGTGTTTGAATGTAATTAGTGTGATATGTAAATTGTATTTGATCTATTAGGGCACTAAGAACTGGTCCTGCTTCCTAAAAGCTTTCATCTGTAATAGCTTTTAACTGAGTCCATTGATGAGGGTTGTAAGTAAATGCATTTACTGGGCACATAATGGATTCTTGTAAATGCCTGTCTCATCCTTGGCTCAGTCTTCCCTCTCCTGTCTTGTTTCTTTTCCAGGACAGAAGGGTATAGAAAAGTCCCCTATCATTACTATGAGCAAGGGAAGGATGAATGCAACGAGTATCTTCTCCACGAACACGCCCCACACGGGGGACACAGGTTCATCACCGAGAAGAAAGTATTTGCCAAGTGGGCTGAGAAGCACAGAATAATATTTACACACCCGAACTGGACAGTGTCCTGATGCCGCGTTTCCCGATGCTGACACTGTGGCTGGGAAGGGGTGGGCAAGGATGATCGTGACCATCATGGTCCTGGACATCCTCTGATGTGGATGCTGACTCTGCTAGTCATCTGAACTTGGCGTTCTGTGGGAGGGGGTCCTGTTCATTCTGTTCTTTCTGGTGGTTCAGCCCTACATATTGCACTTTACAACTCACCTAGAATTGAAGGCCAGTGGCAGGACAGCTGTGACTAAAGAAAACAGGAAGATTGTCTTTCAAGATAGCTGCTCAGAATTCCTTAACAGAAGCTTCCAGAAGAGACCGATTTGGCCTTGTTAGGCAAGGTTACTGAGTGCTTGGGCAGCTCCACCATCTTGGAAAATGGTTGGCTACCAAACACTGTCCCAAGTCATTCTACCAGGGTATAGATATCTTGCCACGGTTTCTAGTTAGCCTGAGAGAGGGTAGGCATCTCTTTCTTATGTGCCACCTTCCTTCCAGATGTCTCGAAGCTAAAGCCTCAGGCTGTCTACCTAATGTAGCAATGAAGGCATCATGTAATTCCTGTGTATCAGGGTTACTGGACTATCACAGACACTTGACTCTAGCAAATACTGAGAAGTTTTCACTCTGACAGCTGTGCTCTCCCTGCTCAAAACAACATAACTAAACATGTTAGTACAATTACCTACGTTAGTGTTTAGTTATTTTTGGTTGAGTACTAAATATTAACGTGTTAGATACACAACTTCAACACTGTAATAACATATACTGTGAAAGCATTTCTGGAACATAACCAAAGGGTTTCCTCACTCCGCTTCAACACCCAATACCACAAAATGATATGCTTTGTAAAATCATGAAACAGGGAAAGCAAAACATATTTTTGCATTAATTTGTATCCTACCATATTCATAATATATATTTTTAAATTCAAATTTCTATTTTGTAAGCCCAAGGTGTGTCTATCCATATACATTATCAATGCCAAGTGCCAAACATTAGACATGAAAGATTCTTCCTATCATTGAATCCAACCCGAGCTTTTGCCTTTGTGCGGTAGCTTGTCCCTTAGCACGTCCGATGTTCTGCTGTAACAGTGAATGGTGATGGAACAGGGAAACAGTTCCCAAGGTGCTTTGTCATCTGAGTCCCTTCACACATGCTGTACCACGTAACACCCATGACCACCTCGCTGGACATTCTGCCATCTCCAGCAGCTGATCCGCACTCTGTTAGCCGTGCTCATGTGTCCCGGGTTGCTCCACTTTAGACTGTCTATATAGAATAGCATTTATGTAAATGAGTAAGTGATTGAGTTCTGTGCCAAATATGGCATAGCATACCAAGATTATGGAAAATGGCCACAAGGATGGCTGTGTCATAGATCAGTAGCCCTATAAGCTTAGATTTTTTTTTTTTTTTTTTTTTTTTTTTTTTTTTTTTTTTTTTTTGGTCATTGGCTTCAAGGTCCAGGCGGTGGGAAGACGAGGGCTCGGGAACAATGGAAGCAGAGAAATATAGTTTCCCATCCCAGGCCCGAGGCAGCTTCATCTCTGTAGACTCGGTGATCCTTAGGTATTAGAGGTTGATTTTCTGAGACAGTACTAAGTCTTGGCACAAGGATTCAAAAGCCAGGCTGAGCTTAGTGTTTCAGAAGCTGGGAATAACAATACACCTTGTCTGCAGAACCATGGCAAGTCTTTCCTAGGACTGAGGATCCTGTCCTGCCCTCTTCTGCGGTTTTAAAACCTCACCTTCACCATTGGAGAGAGGCTGATGATTCTTTTGTCATTTGCGTATGTGAATTTCAGTTCTGTGAATGTTAGTTTTTTAGAGCGGATAGTGGATTGAAATGCCCACTTAAAGAAAAATAAATAATACCCATGCTAAAAATGTGAACTGTTGTTTTTCCTCTATTGTGATACAGAAGTTCTGCTTTTATATAAAACAAACCCTCAGCTAATCAGAATGCTTCCGGGAATGGCATGAATGATTTACGTCATTGTCTGGTTAGTGGAGGGCCCACTCTGTGCTTGGTGCTTACTGATGAGAAACTCCAGGGCTTCCTCTCCTTCTTCCTATAGCTTTTTCTCAGGGAACTTCGGCAAGATCCCCCTTCCCTCACTGTGTGGCAAAGGCAGGCTTTGATAGAATAGGAACGGCCCTCCCCTTTCCTCCCCCCTCCCTTTCCCCACACTCCTCCTACCTTTACTCTCTCTTCTCCTGTCCCACACCCCTCCTCCCGCTTCCTTCCTTCTTGTTTTCTCTCTGTAGGAAACAAAAAGCATTTTATGGAGACCCCGTTGAATTCCTTTGCAATCAGGGCTTTGACAGACTCCGGATTTGCTTTTCTCTGTAGTAATAATTTTCTCTGCTTCCATTTCCTGTTCCTTTCTTCCAGCCTCAGTTCTGATAGAAATGCAAACTCTAATCTCTCCCATGTGGAGAAGTTTTCTGTCTTGGACTTGCTGAGAGAGGCAAAGGGGTGATTCAAGGAGAGCATCTGTCATGCACAGTTCCAGTCAGTTCTGCGGGTTCTAGTCCACTGAAAGGTGGTTATCCACATCCAAACACCGGGAAAGTTAAAGGACCTCACTGAGCACTGGTGCACAGCTATCCTATATATTAATATTTGTGAAGATATGTTTTGGTATCATCTAAGGCACCAGGCGAATGGACTATGGAAAATGACCATAGATGTCTGCAATCAGCATACACGCCTGCAGTTCACAATCACAGGCCAGGTCTGGAGGGGTTCGGCAGGTCAGAGCACTTCCTGCGCTTCCAGGACACCCAGCTTTGGTTCCCAGCGATTCCCAGCACCCACATTAGGGAGTCACAGCTGCCTGTAACTCCAGTTCCAGGTGACCCAGTGATCTCTTCTGGCCTCTGTGGCCACCCACATACACAAGATATACACACACATACACACATATGAATACACATAAATAAAAGTAATAAAAATAAATCTTTAAACCATATCAATAAAATGACTCGTAATGACATATTACTATGTCCATAGATCATTAGTTCCTGAACCTTCCCCAGAGCTTTTCTTTCAGCTAATGGGAATTAACACAAAGACCCACAACTGGACAGTGTGCGGAGAGTGAGACTTTGGAGTACTCAGTCCTAAGACATATTTTTAAATAAAGTCATAGAATAGTATTTCTAATTTTTTGGAAATCTTGAAAAACCAAGGGAAAAGTTAGAGGATTTTAAAATCCTTTTGAAGTTAGCCTGTCTATAAGTCATACTGATGTGCATTTGTATGATGAAAAATGATTTTGTATTGGTGACAAAACTATCAAAGAAAAAATGATGAGTAATTTGAGGGTATGTTTGTATATAGGAACATGGAGTCCATTTGTGAATGTGATATATGAACAGGTATATGCATACATATATACTTATAACTATATGTGAAAGCATACATATGATTCTGTATTCTTTGCCTATGTGTGACTCACAGAAAACTCTATTTTTGACTTCAGCTGAATTTGGTTGGGTTTCATTTTGAATCCTGATAAGAAAAAAACCCCAAACTAATATCCAAGGTAAATGGACTGATTGCTAAACATATATAAGTCATTCTCGATGGCTGACCAGAGCAGCAAACCCAGAGAAGATGCTAACTCTAGAACCAGGGATACAGTGGACAGTGTCACCAAGTAGACATG